TCGTGCATGTATTGACGGCTGATCATACTCCCAAGATAAAACCCAATGGCCTCGTCGGTGCTTCGTCTATGAGCAACGATCATAGGAAGCTAAAGAACGAACCTTATCTAAGTGCCCAAGGTTTATAGGTTCAGAGTGATGTACAATATCATTAGTAGTTTCTCTTGTTATTTTTTCTACCTTCAGTCTGATTAGATCAATCTTCTTTTCTTCCTGACAAAAAAAAATATAGAAGATGATGCATGCTTTGTGTAAGTGTGTATGTGTAGAGTTATATGCTTTGATGTACTCTAGCAAGTAAGCTAATGACCCTATTTATAGGGTGGTTGTGACCTTAAGGGTCAAAGAGAGTTTAATGGTGCATAATGGCCATTGAAGGGGACGTTACGAAATATAATTAAAATAATAAAAGCAATTTTAAGTTTTAAAACTTCTCAAATTTCCAACAATCCCCCACAAGGTTTAAAACTTAAAATGTATGCATGCATACATATATATAAAATAGGGCACTAATATTGTGCAATGGGTGTAGGAGCCTTCCGAGCTTGAGCCTACACTTAGTGTTGATGATTTTCATTTGAGGAAACGGTAATGGCGCAAGCGCTTTGAATTACGTCCCTTCACCAAACTTCAATACATCACACACACAATATCGATATTGGTTCAGTTCAAGCGGGTTAGCGCGTTATCGGCCATGCGCTCTTATCTTGATTCTCATGAAAGTTTCTAGGGTTAGCCCAAACCCATAGCCACGGCCTCATGGAAACTATTCACTTAGGTGAAACCTCCAAGGGTATGTATGACCTCCACCCTACGGTATTCCCGCTTTGGTTTCATTAAGGGTTAAACCCATCCTTATCGTCACACTATAAAGCACTATCACCATAGGGATGGGAAGGAGGTGCTCTCCTCATAATTTGAATTTAGTGATTAATGAGTCATGCATTTACGGGTTGTTTCTACCACATTGAACCTTCTTCATGGGGTCTCCAATCACAAAGGTTGGGTTACTCCCGGAGGTGACTCCCTTACGGGCTTTTATGCCCATCCCCCTCGATGAATTTTTATATCCTTATAGGATAGATCCTTAATAGATCAATGATCATTTCTTTCGAAATTTTAATTTGATCAATGAGTTTTACACCCTTATAGGGCAGATCATTAACAAATGTTTCAAACATTACTGTTGAGAGAATATCATATTTCTCTTCAACTGATACTAAATACTTTGAGATTTTTCTGCAGGTGTCAAACTCAATTTCTTGTTTGAAGATCAATGATAAAATATTTAATTTTCTCAGACATGATCTTATATGATCAAGTTTTTCATTTTGATAAATACCCCCACATTTCAAGAGAATTTAGGCATGAAATAATATTTTTAACAACAATCGCATAGAGCTTTTAATTTCAATTAAATGAAATTAGCTATCTAAGCAAATTCACAAAAGATAGTGGGAGTTTTAGATATAGGATGAAATATATACTCCTTTTAAATCACGTTATCTTGAATAAGGAGAAATACTCATTGAAATAACTTTTAATGAATAAATTCTCAAATTTGTCTTTCGGGTATTTTTTTTTTTTATTATTATTATTATTATTATTATTTTTTTTAATGTTTGGCAAAAGATAAAGAGATACCTCAAAATATTAATTAAAAGCCATAGTCAATTAGCTTTCAAAATCACCATTAAATCCCATGCATCGGCATACAAGGATAATTAACATTTAATTTGATTTAATTTACTATGAAAACATATCTCTATCAAATTTTGAAATTCACCAAAATATATTAAACACTTAATTCAAGCTCAGTATTTCACTTTTGATAACACCAACATATTATGAGAATCATTTTCAATCTAGAATGGTTTTCATGCAGAGGCATTCTAGGATTCAAACAAATTAAATAGCACGTACATAGTCTCATGGAATATCAAAATTTCACATACGTAAATTCATGCATGCAATAATATCTTGAATGCATGAAGTGTTAAATCCATTTGAAAGTTCACCAAACATAGCTTTAAACTTTATTTTATTTATAAACAATAACTATACGCAGACAATTATCCAAAATTGGATTCATGAGGGAAACAGAATAATTTAAAGAAAGAGTCAAAAAATTTCACACCATTTTATTTTTATGTAAAATAACTGCCATGCATAAATGTCATAAAAGAAAATAATTACGTACAATTGTCAGGCTAATAAATGTTATGAAAATATTTCTTAAATAGTCAATTTCCAATGGACAAATAAATAATTAATTAATATTTCAATTAACTTTTAATAATTAAATCATGCCAAATGATTTAATTTGATTTAATAATTAGAATGAATTGAATTCTAATTTTATCACGTGCCACATACATATTTCTTTTCGGTTACAAATATAAATGCAATTAAATATGAATATAAATTAAAGATCATGAATAGTCAAGCTCCCAATTATGCAATCCATGCGTTAATATATATCTAAGTGCAACATGAAATATATATAGTTAACTGCGATTCTGATCACTACAAATATCTACCACAAAATTCCCACTTATAAAATATAAACCATATATAATTTTTTTTTTTTTTTTTTGTTATTATGATGAATCAGTTAATGAAAAATCCATACAAATTATATACAACACATAAATTACAAATAAACTATTCATGTTCAAATGCAGAAACAGATAGAGGGGAAATTTTTCATTTCTATGTTCAATTCTTCTTCGATCCTTATAAGTTATAACTATGTAATTAACAAGTTTGGGCATTAATCTGACTATCAAATAAATGGATTTATCACAATGCACAAATATATGTAAGATTGACAGATCGACCAAAATAGATTAAACAAGAACCTGATTTGTGTCACCATAAAATGTTATATTTTGTTGTAACATATGCATGTTATAATAATGATTGATATTAATCAACTTTAGATGAAATCAGTACAAACCTTTGCACCATTATGATAGTTATCAATTAATAATATGCTAAAAAACAAATACCCACATTTTTATAAGCAAATAATCATTCTCTTAGATTGGTGTGAATATTTTTAAAAAATACAATTTTATATTAAACAATTAAGAACATGCAATATATAAAATAAGATAATCATATAGGAATAGAAAATAGATTAAAGTAAAAGTAATAGAACGGCTGGCCTGAATAGGAGTCGTGCCACTAGACACTGTCCTAAGAGAATGATTGCCTCCCTTCGTGCAAGTATTGACGGCTGATCATACTCCCAAGATAAAACCCAATGGCCTCGCCGGTGCTTCGTCTATGAGCAACGATCATAGGAAGCTAAAGAACGAACCTTATTTAAGTGCCCAAGGTTTATAGAAAAATATAGAAGATGATGCATGCTTTGTGTAAGTGTGTATGTGTAGTGTTATATGCTTTGATGTACTCTAGCAAGTAAGCTAATGACCCTATTTATAGGGTGGTTGTGACCTTAAGGGTCAAAGAGAGTTTAATGGTGCATAATGGCCATTGAAGGGGACGTTACGAAATATAATTAAAATAATAAAAGCAATTTTAAGTTTTAAAACTTCTCAAATTTCCAACATAGATGAGTCTAGCTCATTCTTGCTTGAAGAGGTGTGCACTTTTCCATTTTCTTGTAGAAAGAACTTTTTCGGAAAAACTCTTGCAAAGTCACGTTTTTTCAGAACCGAATTCCATGAAGACTTCCTCGAAGCATCACCACTCGTCTTTGAGTCTATGTTTGAATTTATAAGAAATTTATGCCATCGATTTATTGGGATTTTTCTTTTTCTTCTTCTTTTTTTTTTTTTTTTTTTATTTTACTGTCGTGGCTTTTTTCCTTTCCTTTTATTTTGACTTTTCTGCTACTCAACAATTTAAATAAAAAAAACAAAAGTTAACGCAATTAATGCGACTTTCAACATCGGTCAATGGTCGCAAAAAAAGAAAATCAATAGGAAAAAAAAGTCAACCCAATTAAAAGAAAATCAACTTCGAAAAAAAGTTTTTTCTCCAAAAAAAAAAAAAAAAAAAAAATCAATGGCGATAAAAAAGGGGTTGTTGGTCAAATCGGTTAATTAGTGAAATTGAGATCAAATTAGGGTTTTTTGAAATTTTAGGGATTTTTGAAATTTTTGAAATAATATAGGGGTTTCACTGTAATTTTTTCAAAGAAAAATCGCAAATTTAATCATAATTCAATCGTTGACCGTTGCTTGTTGACGGTCAAACATACGGGGGACCCAATATGTTAAAATTTAACAACATTATAGTGCATTTTGTTGAGGACTAGAAGTAAAAATCGTGCAAACTTGGGGACCAAAACTATAATTATCCCAGAGTTTGTACATATCTTCTACTATTAGGAACGACAATTGAGCCGGGCCTAATTGAAGCCCAATGAGTCGGCCCAGTTATATTTGAGTCGGGCCTATATTTTAGTGAGCCAGACCGAGTATCTTACTAAATTCGATTTATTTATGAGTCGAGTTTGAGCGTACTGTGGCTCAACCCGAGTAAGACTCAATCGATTAAGTTACTAATAAAATGTATAATATATTTATTATTTTAATGATATAGCTCAACATAAAAGTTACAACCGTATAAAATTATTTTATTTTGTAAAAAAAGGAGTTAAAAATAGAAGGAATTAAATGGTGGCGGTAGCAATATGTAAAATAAAAATCAAATGCAATATACCTATCAACCCAGGCAAATTGCTAAAATTTATCATCGAGCTTTGAGAATATAAAACGTTTCCACTAATTAGAGATACTAGTCTTTATTATTACTTCTTCGGTCTTGTTTCTATTTTTTTTTTTTATTTTTTTTGTATAATTTGCAAATATTGTTTAATGTTTCTTTGTATTAGCTTCAATGGAGATAAACATTTTTGTTTATCTCTTGCTTTTCATAATTATTATTTTTTCATTACAGTATAAATCTGAAACCTGAGAAAATACATGAACCGAGTTCCAACCTATATTATTTAGACTCAATGACATATAAACTTGAGTCAATTCAAGTTCGGTTCACATAGTCCGATTGCCAACCATGTCTACTATCAGAGTAAATGTTTAAGGTTCGAATCACACCCTTCCGGTACTTCCTCAATTTATAACAGGATTTAAATTTCTAAAACAAAAAAAAAAAATTCATACTAGGTACTACTATTGTACCTTATTATCCAAACATAGTTTTTTATTTTACACACTTATTGCCAAAAGACAAAATCCAAAGTAGTTGATAAACCAAGTGATTTATTTGTGGCTTTTTTTGGAGGCAATAACTTTCAAAATCTCATAAATGAAATTGTAGGAAGAGCCCCCAATCCTGAGACTCTCTTCTCCACTCATTTTCAATCGTTTAACATTTTCCCTCATTTTCACACCTTCTCTCTCCTCCATTACTCTCCTCACCATCCTCTCTATCTCTCCCCTCCCCACCACCGCCTTTGTCGGCAACACCCCTGGCCGCACCGCCACCTCTGCCTCCTCCGCCAGGAACGCGGCGTTCATCCTCTGCTCCGCATAAAGCGGCCACGCAATCATCGGCACGCCGCTAGTAATGCTCTCCATAGTCGAATTCCACCCGCAGTGCGACAGAAACCCTCCTATCGAAGGATGGTTAAGTATTTCCACTTGCTGGGCCCACATAGGAACCAATAACCCGATGTCACCAGTCCGGGTCGAAAACCCCTCCGGGAAATAATCCGGAGCGGAATCAGACCCGTTGGTTATATTGAAAAAAGCGTCGTCCACACGGCCTGCGGTGGGCGGGCGCACCACCCAAATAAATCTCTGTCGGCTCAGCTCCAATCCCCAAGCCAGCTCTGTGGTTTGTTCTGCAGAAAGCATACCACCACTGCCAAATGAAACGAAAATTACCGATTCGTCCGGTTGCCGGTCTAGCCAGCTTATCAACTCGGTTTTTTCTGTAATCGGCTGGACCGGTCTGCTCATCGGTCCGATTGGGTAAACCGGGTTCCTCATTACGGATCTCATATGCTCGTTCCGTTTGAATGATTCTAGGGTTTTGGGCTCCAAATTGGGCCACGAATTGCACAAAACCCCATCGAATAAAGTGATTTCTTGCCCCATTCTTATGTATTCGTCGTACTGCTGGTCGTTCCGGTCCAGCATCGGGTCGACCACATCCTCGGGTCGGACCGGTTTGCAGCCCGGAATTCTGAGCGGTTCCGTTTGGTCGACGTACTGGCCGTTGATTTCTCGATCGAGAACCGGGCTGTAAATCAGCAAGGCGGCGAACCAGGCGGTGGAAGGGGCGTAAACGTACTTGGGGAGGTTGAACTCGGCGGCGATCGGCAGTAATTCGGTGCCGAAGTGGTCGACGATGAGGGCGTCGGGGCGGCGGTCCATGGCGGCTATGGCGGAGCGGACGGACGGCAGGGCTTGGCGGACCATGAGGCAGAGCTGGGTGACGACTTTGGTGGAGGGATCGATGAGGTGGGAGATGTCGACGGGGGGGAGTTGTATGATTTGGACAAGGTTATCGTCGACGGGGAGATGGAGGAGGTTGGACTCCGGCGGAGATACGGCAGTGGTGACCTGAAGGACGGTGACGGTGACGTTGTGGTCGGCGGCGAGGCGGTTAGCGAGGACTAGCATGGGTATGAGGTGGCCCATACCGGGGCTGGAGACCATAGTAATTTGAAGATTGTCAGATGAGATATCCATCACTGTTACACTGATCTGAGTTTTAGAGAGAGAAAGAGGAGAGAGAAAGAGAGAGAGAGCGATGATAGAACTGTACCGACTACCGAGTGTATATTATTTATATACAGAGTATACTGAAATTTGAAATAACCAGAAAATATTTGCGGAATCAATACATACATAATATAACAAGGGTCTATTAGATTTAACCCCCTTAAACATTCAAATAATAGGGGTAGACCCAAATTTAAATTTGTCATTTTGATAAAAGCCCAAGCTTTTCGTAATTACATAATTACCCTCAATCAAATCCCACAAATCTCGTTACTTTACCTTTTTAAAATTAATAGACTATCTCATATCTTTTAATAGACTATCCCATGTATCTAATTCGACTATGGGTTTAATTAATTGACTATTGGAAAAATAATAATATATATGGAAACTGAATAATATGTTTGTTTGAAATACTAATCAATTAGGGTAATTTTCCTTATTATATGAAAACGATTAGGGTAAATAATAATATATATGAAAAAATAATAATATATATGGAAACTGAATAATATGTTTGTTATACTAATCAATTAAGGTAATTTTCCTTATATCATGTAATAGACTATCTTATTGATCTAATTCGACTATGGATCTCGTTAATAGAGTATGGATCCCGTATTATTCAACCACATAGTATATTAATAATTTCAATATAGTACATTAATCTGCTGTGATAGTATATTACGGTTATAGTATTGATATGAAATTGTGTTACAAACAATATACCACTGAAATGACAAGAACATTGAGAACAACACCAACGTAAAGTATTCCACATAACCAATAAAATAGTACATTAATAATCTCATAATTTCAATCTAGGGTTTTGATAAAATACATAAAACACATCATAACACAATCAAACCAATATGTCGAGTTAAAAAACTCTAGTACATTAATAGTCTCATAATAGTATAATAAAATGATAATGGTAGTATCATACGGTATTCATAATAGTATACTACTGTATTACAACGGTTTAACACTTAACCGAAGTTACCGAGCCATTACATCGTAAACACCTCTTTATAGCAACCAACCCACCAAACCTCAACAAAATCCGTACGAAATTCGCCATCGAAAAAACCTAAAATCATGAAACAAAATTAAAAATGCAGAATACTAAAAAATAATTAAATAGACTGCAAATATATTTCATCAAAAATAAACTTAAAATGCAAAATTCATACGCTAAATTAAAAAAGACTACGAACTATATTTTAATGTACTACACAGCACACTTAAATCGGCTGTTATAAACAAATAAACCAACTATCGATCGGGATAAAAACATGAACTCGACCAAAGCGGACAATTATTCCGATTATTGCATAAACCAACTACGAAGCTCATATAAAACAACTCTGGTTCGATCTGCGTGAACCATACTCTTCTAACTCTGTCAATCCTCTTCCAAACAAACATCATCGGCCAAAAAAAACGATATATATATATATATGACGGAATAATTTTGTTAAAAAACGTTCTACTTAATAGAATCAAGTATCAACACAACTCTTAAAAATTTCTAACCACCGTACAAGACAATCATGGACATTGAGCAAAAAATAAAAACGAATAACGCATTCATACCCGCTTAATAACGTCCAACAACAAACGCTCAAAAATCGATCCTATTTCCACGACGGTGCAGAAATCTTCAATGACGATAAAACCCGCTGGAACGATGAAGAGAATCTTCAAAAAATATTGTACACGATTTCATATAACGGCCAATGATCTCACGTAAATTTATTCCGTGATTTTAGGCAACGTATCAGCAAATCTCAAATCACGTATTAAAGGAAATAAATGCTGTTTAATAATAAAACATGGGTATTAAAGAGAAATTATATAATATATTTTGCCAAGTTGGCAAAATTGGGTGTATCTCAAAAAGGGGAAAAAAAATTGGATCTACCTCATTAGAAAATATGAACAAGGGGGTTTTCCCTAATAAACCCATATAACAATGAGTCAATGATGCATTAGTTATGCTACCTACCCTACTACTTTTATTATTCCCCCAAATTAAGGCCACCCCTCATATAATTATAACTACCAAAAATACCTTCGTATCTGCATAATAAAAACCGCCCCCACTATGTATTTATTATCTTACACGTTCAAATTAGTATGTCAAATCTACCGAGTGGTGTTCATTCGGTTGGTAAACCGATCGAATCGAATCAGTACATGCCGATTACCCGAACCGTTAATTCGGTGTGGTATTCAGTTTTATTTCATTAAATATATTTAATAAAATCATGGTAATTCGGTTATTTATCGAACCAAACTCTAACATGTTATTAAATTTTGGCGTACCGCATGTTATGTACAATTTAATTGGATGAACGCACCTAAATTTATCAACTGGAGAGATTTTTTCGTAAGGTAATACATAGTTGATGGGGTGTTTGTAATTACACAAACAAGAGAGCGTTTTTCGTAATTTGACCACCTTAGGGGTGGTCGTAATTTCCCCTTATTATTATTATTACTCCCTTCGTTTTCTTTTATAGTAGTTTTTAGCTTTGCACACAAATTAATGATTTCATTAAATGTATCTTGATTTTAAAAAATATATATATTTTTAAACTAAACTGACCTTATCTTATAATTAATACAAGAGATTAATAAATTAATAAGGATTATTATTCTTATTATTATTATTATTATTATTATTATTATTATTATTATTATTATTATTTTTATTATAAAATGAGAGCGGGGTAAAAAATGCCAAGGAATCGGATGTGATGGTTGGGAGTATAAGCACTAAATTCACATCAACTAACGGTAAT